ACACACACACACACACAATCTTTTAAGGGCATTTCTCTGATTTCCAGATTCCTGCGTTGATTTTATTTCATTTTTAAACGCATCATTACAATTGTTGATAACTTTGTATATGACTGCTGACAACAGAATTAAAAAAACACGCCTCCATTTTTGCCAAAACCAAATATTTGCCCCAGTTTTCCGTTTTGGAAAGTATGTATATGTATATGTCTCAATGTTGGCCACTTTGATATCTAGATAGATATTTATAGATATGTCAGAATTTATCTAAAGCTCAAGTTATTTTTCTGCTGGATATTTTTTGGCTACCACTCTAATACTGTTTTTTACACTCAATCCTGCATCAACTCCTGTATAAATAATACACTACTGTACTCTGTAGTCATAAAAGTACGGCAAATACAGTTTTGTTCACGCTTACTTTATTACTTGGGAATCGCTGCACACTTAATACCCATGCATGTTAATTTTGCGTGACTGCTAAACTGACTCACACACTGTAGTTTTATGGCTTTCTGCCCAAACTGGTTAATTCAGGATCAAAACCACATATCTAGAGGTGGATCAGTTAATGCACATTAGTTGAGGAGCAAGTGTGCATTACTTTACAGTGAGCTCACAAAAGCGCAGTGAATACTGTATTAGGGGACAGTGTGAAAACGGCATAACATGATAAACATTTTCCAGGTTTTTAAATGGGCCAGGGTCAGTTTCAGTGATTTTGAAGCCACGCTGATAGATTCTTACCAAGCACAGAGTCAGTCTGCTGCTGACCCGTGAGCAGACAAACACCGGATACAAAGCCATTCCTCAACCCAGAGGAGCCAAAACAGGACACAGGAAAGAGACGGCGGAAGAATAAAAAATCCTAAAAGGATCTAAATCTAATCTCCTGTTGCGTTAAAGTGGCTCTTATTCAACAACGCTGTGATTTTTTTTCACTTTCCTCTAAAGCTTCTGAAATGGAGAAACTCACGCAGCTGTGATCCCTGAGCCGAGAGAAGAGCCGAAAGATGGGATTTATGGGGCGGATAAGGAAACGCAAGAAAACTCAATCCTGTTTGGGATGATACTGATTTGTGAAAGAGGCTCAGGCGAATAATAAAAAAAAACAAACAAACAAAATACCCCACCACATACTCACACAGGCAGACAGAGGACTAAGAATCAACTGTGACCAAAGTGAGATAAAAAAAAAACCCTGATGTCTCTGGCTCCGCCCACAACAGTTCCTGCACATGTCTGAGGGTGCACTCACACTAGAGCCAGTTGCTCTGTGCCACACTAATTGTCCCGTTCAGCTAAAGCCCGCGTGTGAATCTTAAAACAACGGCTGCAACAGCTGTTTTGTGAACGATCTCTGAAATAGTCATCATCACTGTGAGCTGCTGTGGCTCAGGAACACGACGGAGCAGGAGATCTGGAGCAGCGTCTGACTGTGATATACATGAGGGCTGTGTGCTTTGAGGGGGGCGGACACACACACACACACACACAGAAACTGTTTCCAGTTCCTTGATAAAAGGTGCAGCATGTCCAATCTTCCAGAACTGAGGGCCCTAACAACCAGGTACCCGACTAACACTACAGAGTGAGGAATTTAGTACCAGGCTGTTGAAAGGTCACAAAGAAGACCGAAGGGCAGCTTTCAGCTTCAAAAGCCGAAAAAATAAAATAAATAAATACAGCGTTATCACCACAGCTGGTTCTCACCTCACAAACCATCTCTGTGTGAGTCACTTTGACCTTCATGACCTTCATATTTGTTTATTATTAGTCCAATTATTAATTTTTTGGTGCAATCTGACAGCTGGTCTCTGTGTGTCTTCTACGGAAATTGTCCTTGGCAGAAACAAGATTGTGATCTACAGCAGGGGTCCCCAACCCTCTATCGTCGAACCGGTACCGGTCCACGGGTCATGTGGTACCTGGCCACAGCAAAAGAATTCAAAGTTGACTTCATTTAAAGAGAATCCAGTTGTTTTTCAGATTACAATGCTAACAGGATAAAGTCCAAAATGTTTTGTTGAGTATATTCATCAAGCCTTCAGCAGATCCTTCAACAGATCTTCATAGACGTCATGGAGTAAAGTCAGACACTAACGGCCTGCCGTACTGCCCGGCAGCTCCCTACCAGTCTTTCATACAAAATATTTGGGAACCACTGATATAGAATACTATTTTTGGATCAGCAGATGGCGCTATCTCTGCAGCTCAACATCAAAACCTTAGTGCCATTGAGCTCTTTGGGGCAGTAGTGAAGGAAGACAGCAACATGACGTTGTTTGTTAACACTGAGATCTGAGATTATTTGCTTCATTTGTTTGTTTGGTGTGACATCACAGTGTACAGTCACATGACTCTTTTGTCCTGTGGTGTTTATAACCGTTTCATTTCAACATATGGTGAGTAAATGCTGACTTTTCAGCATTTGAAAAAAAAAATCACAAATGTTTCATTCAAATTACATTTCTGCTGCAGCATCCACACAACACACACCCTGTTCTCCCACTATGTGTGTGCGTGTGCGTGTGTGTCCACGTATAAAAAGCTGCTTGTTGGTTTAACGGCTGTAAATTGCCTGTAGCAAATGCTGCTGCTGCTGCTGCCGCCGAGTCTCTTGAAGGTGACGATCTACTTTAATGGGTTTAAAAATGTTTTTTTATGAGCCCCTCAGCTGTTGGTTGGTTCTCTGTGCGTTTTTAATTCCTCTCCTTATATCATGTTTAATGTACAGCGTTGACCTGAAAAACTCTTCCAGAATCTCAGCTCCTCACACTGTGACCGTAACAACACCGTTGGTGGTTACGGATGGTGAACATAATTAACTTAAAACACTGTTTTTTAAAAGAAAATCACTCAATAAAAATGTAACTCCTGCTGCTTTCCAGGGAAATATGTTAGAGTTGTATTCACTTTTTTCTGTATTTGTGGACAAAGTGAAACAACAGCCTCTGTTTTTTAATGAGAACGACAGCAAACACACACACACACACACACTAACCAACAGAAGTGTAGACCTGTAAACAAACACCGTCCTCTGTGTGTGGCTCTCGTCTACAAAACACACTAAAACATATGTTTACACACACACACACACACACCCACACACACACAGTGTGTACTCAGCTGCAGGATCAGCAAAACAAGAAATTGGTTCAAATGAAAGTTTAAAGATTTGTTAACCAAAATCTGATCCACTTACAACTGAGTTCTGTTCTTGGTAATCTGATCTAATCTGACATAACCATTTAATGAGTATTTGTAAGTATTTTATTGTGTTATATTTTAGTATTATATTGTACTGTAGGGCTGACATTCTAACACTGAATCCCCCCCCCCCCACACACACACACACAGTATTGATTTACATCAGTGAGTTATAGGAAAACAGTTGGGGATGTGGTGCTTCTTCCACTGAGGGACATGGAGAATAATGGGCCCCCGGGGGCCATTACAGACCCTCAGACTCTACCATCACTGAGATGAGGTGGAACAAACACAAACAGCAGGAAGACGTCAGAGGTCAGGGTCTTCTCAGAATACTCTGGTCACATGACCAAAACCTGGACCACAAGCTGGATCCGAGCCTGACTCAAACCCAGACCACGTTCTGTACCACAACCTCTGCCAGATCCTCCACAAATTAAATCAAAAACTGGACCAACGTGGACCATGATCTGGACAGAATCGTACTGAGCATCTCATGCAGATAAGATTTTAGTTTTTTATTTATTGAGATTTTCAATCAATAACATCACAACTTGGAACAGAATTAAGACCAAAAGATAATATTTGGACACCCGGGACCATGTTCCAAAAAACAAGATGTGAACCTAAACCCTAACTAACCCCAAAAAAACAAACCAACAACAAACAGAGCCAAAACCAAAAAACTGAATCACAACTTTTACCAAAACCTGACTCTAAACTTCATAACCTAAAAGACTGGAATCAATTGGGAACAAAACCTAAACCAAGTACTGAACCTGGACCATACAGTAGTGGATTTCAACCAACATTATGAGTCAAATTAAACACAATTTTGAGCCTAAAACTAAACCATAGCCTGGATCTAAACCTGGAGCCTAACTTGTACCATATACAGGACTACATATGGATCACGTTTCAATTCCAGGGCCAGATTGTTGTGATGCAGATCTGGATCATTGATTCTGATCACAACAGAATTCATAATCTGGGTTGAACCACAAATTAGACCTAAAGCTGAATATAGACCACAGCCAGCGAACACCCAGGTCAAAGGCATAGAACTAATCCAGATCTAGTTTTTTATTTTATTTTATTTTCCTAGTATCAGGACTTTGATCACGCTGTGATTATTAAACGACATTAAACTACTGCTGCTCGGTGTCGGTCTGTTCCAGCCAGTATTGGCTTTCAGACTTCAACAAATAACATTATTTTGCACCTGTTCTTCAGCTGTTCCTGCTCTGAGCAAAACAGGCACAAAGGGAAGAACAGGGGGAGACGCGGAGAGGAGAAAGGGAGGAGATGGAGGAGCAGCAGGGGCAATGAGAGCAGTAAAAGCCGGGATAAGTGGCTCAGAAAGCCCGTTAATGACACACACACACAGACGGAGACAGATCCTAAAAATAACCCGGAGCTGCTGCTACTGCACCTCCTCCTCCTCCGGCTGCTCCTTCACTGCTCCTCCTGCTGCTGAATGGAGGCGGTGTGAGCCGGTCGGCTCAACAAACGTACCCCCACCAAAAATGATACGAGAACCGTCAAATATAACAGTGTTGTAGCAACACAAACCATTACACGCACACTTGCGCGTGCACGTACATACACACACACAGGCACACACACAAACAGTAGCAGCGGCAGAGACAAACACTTTCTCTTTTTCAGCCACACACACACTGTGATGCGTTCACGTACACACACAGATGAATGTACATTACGGTTAATTTGGCTGCTCTCTAATAATATCAAAATAGATGAAAATTCTAATTACGTCCAATCAAACTCACCGTGATGTCGCGTCCCTTCATCCACGTTCCTGCGCCTCAGACACCGACTCTCTCCGCTCTCTCTTTGCTGTCTGACTCGCTTCCTTAGGCGGACAAATCCAGGCTCGGTGCCCGCTGTCAAACCTCCGCTTTGAATATAATCACAAACTCAAAACCAGTTATTGTGAAAACAAAAAGAAGGTTATTGAAGAAGGTCCCGCTATGGGGCTATTCTTCCAGAGACAAAGCTCCAGAGGGTTATGAACCTAAACCGTGGTTAGCTGCAGCCACAGCGGCTGCTCCCTTTGACCGAATCAGAGCCTCTTGTGAGCGGAAACCGAGACGCTGCTGGTCCGCTACCGCTCCAGCAATGGAATATATGTCTGCTGCTGCTGTAACTGTGACTGCTGATACTCAAGAGGAGGGGGAAGTGGGTGAGGGCGGGGTTTAATACACACCGCCCACTTCACGATACCCCCCCCCATCCCTAATTTTTTGTACGTTCCTCGGCTTTTCGTCTACCTGAGAAACAGTGATAATGGTAATGTGTGGACAGTCCCATTTCTGAGATAAATAAATTGAATTTACATTCTTACTTTATTTTTCTAAATCCTTAGGAAAGAAACATAATGTCATGAAAAATGTCATATATATACTGTATAAATTCCAAGGGAAAACTTAAAGGTAAATATAGCCTACCATTGTTTTCTCATCCTTTTTTCACAACATTAAACCCTGATTATAGACACATCAACTTTAATATTATTTCATATATAAAATAATGTTTTCGTTGTTAATCAGCGATTGCTTTTACATCTGAACATGGTGATGGAGACAGCAGAGGACCAGCAGCTGCTGTGGGCCGTGGTTGACTACATCAACATGATCATTATTTTATCATGAAGACGTTTAAACGGCATCATAATTTCAATGGATTAATGCCAAATAAATCAATATGTTTTCTCTCATATCCTCCTCCCATTATGCTGTGATGATGCCATTGATCCAGAAGGTGAGTGATCACACGGACGCTTTATCAATATCTGTGTAAGGAGGCTTTCACTGTGATGCTGAGAGGATTCATATCAACTGGAGAAAGAGTTTTCAAAAAACAACAACATAAAAACACCAAAGTTCAACTTCCCTTGACCACCATGCAGAATACCTCCTCTGTCCAGTGTGTACATCAGTGTTGAACTATTCCGATTGGCTGTTTAGCTGAAGTGTGAAAGGAGGGATGCTGCAGTTTAACCACGGTCACCTGTTAAAATACAAATAGAAAAGAAACAAACCTTGATATTTCAGAAGTTACAGGTTTTCGGTCCAGTTAGGACGGTGTCTGGGTCAGCATCTGGACTGCTGTCCACATATTAAAAACAGTTCAGGTGTTTAGTGGTAGTTCAGTACAGTTACTCTTCCACACTCATTTCCATAGAGAAAAAAAAGAGACTTTCCTGTAGTTAACAGAAACACAGGCCTCCTGTGGTCACTTTGCGTCACTACTGTAAATTAAACAGGACAGATGAGTTTCAGAAACTAAACTCACAAAATAACTGGTTTGAACCTTTGAGTAGTGCACAAGCAGCTCCTGTTTCACTGTGAGCTAAAATGGCTGGTTTGGACTTTGGCTCAGAAGAATAAATCAGACATATTCACTGTAGAAGTCAAAATAAATCATGTTTTAGGTCGACTCAGAAAGTGTGGGGACTGTGAAGACCTGCTGGAATGTGGACTTTGAAAGTGTGGGGATTCCATCCAGGTCTGTGAAGACCTGCTGGAATGTGGACTTGTGTGTATCTGTGTGTGTGTCTGTGTCTAATCAACATCTATTGTCTTATCAATGAAGGATCACTCCCCCCCCCCTCCTCTCTTTTTCTGTCCCTCTCTAATTTTCTCAGTTAAACCACAGGAGGCTTTTTTGTTTGTCTCTACCGAAGCTCAGGCTCCAGATTATAATCTACTGTTACCTGATAATTCCCTCAGAGCGAGTCATGCTTTGCCAAATCCCAGCAAGCCTGAGCATGTGCGAGCCTCAGCGCAGCTTGACATTCTTCTCTAACAGGTCTGAACAGAGAAAGTGGTGCTGGCTCTGAATCATCCACATTCCTTTGTTTGGAGGAACAAATGTGGAAATAATCTGAAGAATGAACAGCTCAAAATCTAACAATCAACAGATTAGACTAACGTTAGTCAGTTATTTAATTACAGCTAAAGGTTATAACATAAATTGATTCAAATAACAAGAGGAATGCTATTACATTCCTCTTGTTATTTGTGCTAAATGTGAGATGATTTGTAAGTAATTACTCAAATCAAAAAGCAGTATTTGACAGAAGAAGCAGTTATGAACCTTCTCATCTGGTGTACTGTGGGCTGTATATCTTGTTTATCTGTACCAGGACTGTTGTAGCTAACGTTAGCTTCGGTGTCTGTACCAGGAGTCTTGTAGATTTTGGCGGATAGGAAATCAAGTTATAATTAGCACAAAGTTAATACAAGGTATGAAGCATCTAAAAGTTAGCTCTAAAATAATTAGCTCTAAAAGTTAGCTCTAAAATAGTTGCTAGTCTCCTGCTCCAGGACCCTGTTGTTTAAAAGTTCATTCTCTGCAGGATTAATCTATTTCTCTGCAATGGATTCACCAGTTTTATCTCTTGGCCTGATTGATGGAGTGGTGTGTGAAGTTTTCTTTCACAGATAATCTGACAAACAGCCTCGACCTGTCGTTCAATAATCAATTCACCTGCCGTCCGTGGTGTTTCTGCTCTCACAACATCTGCTGCTTCGCTCTCTCTGATGATAATTATTACACATTTAAAACCAGATTCTCTGCCGCGGCTCGGTCTGGTTCATCCTCCCCCAGGAACAATTCACTGCAGTTAAGAAATAATGAGAAAATATTGGCTCTTTTTTTTTTACTAGTGAAGCTCGTCACAAACCGAGAGAAGAGAGGGAGTAGAAAAAGGGAGGAGGAGAAAATGGGATAGAAGTGTAGTGAAAGAAGAAGAGCCTGTGGGAGAAGAGACTTGTCACTTTTCATTAGACACAGCCTAAGAGACGAGGACAGGGCAAAGACGTGAAACGAGTGGCATTTAATTTACAAGAGGGAAAATCAGCCGCTGCAATGAAGGTTACAGATGTTTCTGCTTCACAGACGTCTCTCCTTTCTTTTTGTCTTCTAGTCTTAGAACATATACAGGAAGACATTTAGTGAAGACTTTGTCCACGTAGATACACATTTAAGGCTCATTTATTCTTCCTTAACGTACGTAGAGACGTTTACAGTCCCATGTGGGCTTCTTGTTTGGCATCCTTGTTAGGGAATACATCCATTAGGGGGCAGTGCTGAGTTCAGACTTAAATTCTGGGCCAATGTCCATTTCTTAATCAATATTGGATGTGGAAGAGGTGGTGAGAGTTGTCCTGCTCAGAAAGACGTCCTATAGAACGTTCTAGAAAATATTCTTGAAAAGTTGTACAGCACAAAAGGAGATTCTTCAGTTACACAGCAAAGGATTTACATGCTACAACTCGACCCAACAATCTTGACTTGCCGGTCTCTCACAGCTGCCTAGCAACAGCTCAACTCACATTCCTTCCTAACCGAGGTTGACAACACCTGGTTCTCTGCCTCAGTTAGTGACTCTACTTGAGGACCAGACCATCTACTGTAAGTGAAGACCAGTCCGACCAGCCTTTGTTGGTTCAGAGAGCTGGTAAAATGACCTTTAACCTTGAATGAACTTATTTCAGAAGACTCTTTCAAGGATCAGTTCCTGGAACACAGGTCCCTGTGATACTGGATCTCGGCAGTGTTGTGAACCTCAGTTTGGGTCACAGTTGGGTCACAGCTGCTTCCTGGTGAAGGTTGGACTCTGACGCTGTTACAATGACGCCTGACGGAAATGATTTCTGACTCAGCTCTGAATCCCTTGTCTTTTTGAAACGTGTGACAGAAAACATGACTGAACCTCTGACAGCAGCAGCACTTCCTGCTCCTGCTGCTGCACAATCTTCAGATCCTTGTTTTCTAAACCCAGCAGCAGCAGAATGACGATGCTGCGGCTCAGGATCTTCAGCTCACATGTTATTATGGTCTGTCTGGCTGTAATTGGGTCGTTGGTGTATGACTTTGTAGATGAGCTGCAGGCTCTCAGAAAAACCACAGCATCATCAGCAGCAGCAGCAGCAGCAGCAGCAGCAGCAGCAGCAGCAGCAGCAGCAGCAGCAGCAGCAGCAGCAGCAGCAGCAGCAGCAGCAGCAGCAGCAATATCATCATCAACGTGAACTTTTACCAACTCTTTTTTGAGCCTCATTTCTTTCCCTGATTGTTTCCGTCATTTTCGCCCATTAAGGCGATGACGTCATTCCATGAGCACGTTAACAAAAATCTAATTTGTAAAACAATTTCTTTTTTTTATTGCTCTGAGTCTGACACTTCACTCTGAGCTCCACGCCATATTCGTGGTCACCGTCGCTGCTGCTGCAGTTAAAAGTTTTTAACACAAAGCTTTGCACGATTAACTTTAACGGCTGCTGGCTAACAGACAATAAACGTTATACTTTCAATTAGAAGACGTGGATTCAGCTTCATTACAGCGTTAACAGGTCACTGCTGCAGCAGAAACCAAGAGAGTCACGTTTTAGTGTCACTGTATTTAATAAACACTGCATTCAACCAGAAGGCACGGTGAAAAGAATGGGAACAGGATGTTTAATCATCTCATTTTTCTGTTATTAAATGTCATTATTTTATATTAAATTGTTTTATTTAAAGGAATTATTTTTTAAAAAATATATATATGTCTATATATATAGATTTATTTTTTTATCATTCATTATTTTTACTGATTTAATATTTGTTTAAATATTTACAAGTAAAAGCTTTTTAGTATTAAAGCAGAAAACGTCAAGGACTTTTTCAAACACACACACACACACACACACACACTGCTGAGTAAATTCTTTGTCTTTTTTAACGTCAAATAGTTTCTCGTCCATTTCATGTTAGATCTCGTCCTCAGACCATGTGACATTTGTTTACATTTTCACCCTGTGACGTCAGGCTGCAGACACTTGGTGAAGATAAACCGAGAATCTGAAAGTGGAGATAAAATCAGAGAAAATAACAAAAGGAATGGGACGTAACTGAAACCACTCCCTGGGAAAGAAAATAAAGACGGCGCCTTAATGACCTTAAACAGTTAATGAAAGAGCAGGAGTGAAGATCAATTAATCAATCACAACATTGATCGCCCTCCAGTGGTAGCCCAGCACAGACCGCGGCTCCTCACATTCCTGTATCGCCCTGAGGGAGCGTGATTGTCAGGCATGGACCACCTGAGCCACCAACACACACAGGAACCAGGAATGCACACACACACACACAGAGTAGAATGAAGTTGGGGTCTCAGGGCCTACTTCAGACGTCCAGAACATTGTGATAATAAAAAGTTCTGGGACAGACAGTAGTGTTTGTCATTGGACCCATTTGAATATCATTGTAAGTGGAACTGATTCCAAACACAGACCTTCTCGTTGACTAGTTTTATTTTCAGAACATACCCCGCGGCCACCTTAGGTAGTCCACGGGGGCTACCAGACGCCCCCGAGCTCCATGTTGGTGACCCCTGCTCTACTGTCTACAGGTTACAGTTTATAGAGAAAATTAGGAATTTCAACTGCCGCCCCCTGTGGTCAGTTTGTGTATTGTGCCAGATGTAAATTAATAATAAAGTGATAAAAATAGGTTTGTATTCAACAACTGAGAGAAAACAGATAAGGGTCAAAATAATCGTAGCCACGTATCACATCAAAGCTCAGCTAATTCCATTTAAGCTAGACTAAGTCTGTGACACGACTCACTCAACCACACTGCAGTAAAAAGAGAAAATCCTCACTGCTGCCCCCTGTGGATGGGTTGAGCCTCAAAGGTAAATCTGATCAACATCCGCGGTGACCTTTAAGCTGAAGTCACTGATTTTCTCTGTGGACTTGAGTGTGGCTGAGTGAGGTCCGGGTCAGACGAGATAACAACTACATTTTCCTGAGTGTGTGTGTGTGTGTGTGTGTGTAGTTTCTGAATCAGGCGTCTTTTTACTGTAACTCCTGCATTATTGATACTTTTCATATCTTCTCATTATTTCCAGACTCTGTGCGGCTCCGTGTCCCACATGGCTGAACACAGTGTCTGTGTTTCTGTGCTCAGCTGAACCAACTAATCAATTATAATCAGGTAACCAATCAAAGAGCAGGTACAGCAATTACACAATGCTGGGGATCATGGGAGTTTCAATTGGATGAGCTGATTTGGCTCTAATTTACAACAGCTGCCGATGACACACACACACACACACGTTCTTGTTCCCTGTTCACATTAGTGCAGTAAAGATTAACCCGATTTGTAATATTGCAAGAATGAACTAATTATCCTTGTCTTGATGATATTAATCCTGATCCTGACTTTAGTAATCCCAATCCTAACTGCATCAATTCTGAGCCTGACCCTTCTGACCCTGATATGGACCCTTTGAATCTCAGCCCGGACTCTTGTCTATTTCAAACCTAATCTTGATATTTACGAGCCTAATTGTGAGTGTCGTTAGCCGTTAGCATTAGTTAATTGGACTGTGTGGTGA